GTTGTAGGACGACACCGAAAAAAAATTCATACTTTTGAACTTTTCGAAAATTCAAGGTGAACAACAGTGAAAATCAAAACTATGCCACTTTTATACGTGTAAGTTACTCTATTCTTATAGGAAATTTAAAGAAAACATTTGGAGTCATTTTAGAGAACAAATTGAAAATGTTCAGAGATTTATGTAAACTACACCCAAATTTACAAGAATGTTTCTCAAAGTATCAACACGAGCCAGATGGACAGGGGTTTCTTCAATTTGGAAAAATCATAAGCGCGGTTTAGGCACTAGTAGTGTTCACAGACACCAGACGGACGGACGTTTTGAAAGAAAGAACATAAAGCATTACATAACTTTCCCTATACTACTTATATTACTTTGTATATATACAGGAAAGTAATAATGTCAACAAATTGTCGCTAATGTAAATTTTAATGACGTGAGAGACAAGTCAAAAACTTACATTTTTGAAATTTTTTGGAAAATACAAAAGAATAGAGCAAACTCATATATATGTCATCTCATAGAGTGCATTGATAACTATCCCTACCAAAAGTTTAAAGAAAAAATTTGGAGCTGTTTTTGAGAAAATTTTGTTTTTTTAATTTGCAGTTATTACGTGCAATATTGCACAAAAACAAGTAAATTAAAAAAAAATAGGTATATGAGCTTAATGAAAGAAAACAAATTTTATTTGAACGAAAAATCTGTATCATTAATTTTGTAGTGGTAGGAAAGGGCTAAAAAAATTGAAACTTCTGAAATTTGAGAAAATTTTGAGTTAACTGTGAATATAGAACCTTTGCCACCTTTATAACTTTATTTCTACAATAAATGTTAAGAAAAAATTCGGAGCCGTTTCTGAGAAAGTTTTGAAAATGTTCAGGGGGCTTTAAGTGAAGTACCCACAAATGATAAAGAATGTTTTTCAAACTCTTAAAGCTTCGAATGGGGCCAGATAGACAGGACTTTTTTTTCAATTTGGAAGAAATCCCACGTATGGGTTAGACACACGATGGACGGACGTTTCGTAGGAAAAAAACAACAACACTTTTTCGGTATCAGGGGACCCAAAAGTATATTTTTCCTTTGAAATCTCGAAATCGATTTACCGCAACATTACATAACTTTAATAATAATAATAATAATAATAATAATAATAATAATATTTATTGAGTTACATATACAATTACAATCGTGTATGACGAGTCAAATATAATATATTTAGAAGGAGTACAAACGCATACATCTTCTTGGGAGCAGCGAGTGAAGTTACATTTATTTTTATTTTTTTGGTCCAGAAGCACAACAAGGGGCCATCTCAGTATTTGCTCAAAGGACTAGGGAAACTGGACAAAAAACCTGATCACGATGGGGTCATTGACTACATACATTACACCGTATATACGTATGTAAACCGGAAAGTAAAAATATCAAAATAACGACTGTCATGCTATTCAATGTATTTATCCTCTAGCTCCTAATAGCGGTTTTATACGCAGGCTTGCTTAATAAATCGATTAACGAAAGCCAGCCGAAGTCGGCAGCCAAATTGCTTACTCGGTGAAATCAAGTGGCAAAGCAGTTCGCGACACCTAAGGTCCCTGGATGAGTGACCGTCTGTGGATACTAACGGTGTCGATGCCCTAGCCAATAGGGGAAAAAAGGGACTGAGGTGACAGAAGTCTTTTTTTTTTATAAAAAATAATTATTCCGTGTGACCTGACTGACTACAATAAAAGAAAAGTACACTGTGTTCAATACCGAATAAGGCCGGATGCGTAGAACAGCGTGTAGTAGATTAAACTCTTGTTCGGCGTTGGTAGCTGAATTCTTTAACTCCGCCCCGTGAACTCGCGGAGGTTAAACAAGGTTCGAGGTATCGTGGGTACCTGGTTGGGTGACCATCTGGGAATCTCGAGATCTAACGCCACCGAGCCTCTGGATGAAGGGACAAAAAGTAATGGCCGACTACGACTGACGATTGCCTAGTTTAGAGGATTACTCCAAACGTTCGACACGCCAGTAGGTGGCTTTGACACAGTTACTTGTAACATAGCTTTTAAAAAAAATCTCATGACAGTATATTGTTTTCTCCCTATCCCCCTTCTCGATTAACATTTATTAAAGATTTTCCAGTCGAACGTTTGGCAAGTGGAAACTAAGAACGTCGTAAGAGTTATCGAAAACACGGAATTTGTACTTTTCACATTTTCTTCAGGAACCTAAATATGGACAAAAAAACTAATTTATTCATTGATAAAACAAATACAACTAATTATTGCAAGTAATCTTAATTAAAACTAAATTACAGGAAAATAAGTTATCAACATAAAAAATGCACATTAACAAAAAAGAAGGGAAAGGTGAATTTTATTCCTTATCGTAACGATTCTGCCGTCACGAAATCGATGCACAAAAGCGAAGCATTCGTGAACGGTAGGAGGACATTAGATTTACGAAGGTAGTTTGAATGACAACTAGAAACGCTCGACGTTTTTTACCGAATTACTTAACTGCGCTCCGTGAAGTCCAGGAAATTAATCAATTCGAAACACTACGAGATCTTAGAAGGATTACCGTCTGGGAACTCCGGTTACTAATGACGCACAGTGGTCGTGAATCTATCGAACTTCGAAGTAATAACTCGTAATACAAAGAACGAAGATGGCACGAAAGAATAGTCGATGTGCAAAAACACGAACTTAAGTTTATTTTTTTAACAATCATGTAACATGTTTAAATGTTTTATTTTAAAAACTTATTATAAAAATAAATATATGCTTGAACAGATTTTGTATAACTATCGAACAATTACAAAGTCGTAGAATGTGTGAAAACATTTGTTTAATGAATAATTTTAATTAGGTCTTCTTTCCATCCACGAAATAACCTTTTCTGAAGCACCACGGACGCACCTTCGTGGGAGCGAGCAGCGTTATTGTAAAGGCAGCTTTCGGAGACGTGTCCATCGACAGTTCCGTTCAAGGGAGTCACATACAGTTTACGGGTTAACTTTGAACGGGCTAAAGGCGCGACCACACGATGAGTCTTCTGTGCGTAACGGGAATAAAATTGCATGCACAAAGTTGAAAGACGAACGTTCAACACAGCGCTAGAGCTACCCTCTCCACACGGTGCAACACTGCGGTACTTTAGTTCTGTTTTGTACAACGGATTCCGTCTACTTGCGCGGCAATTTCGGCAGCTTATTTTATAATCAGTCGAAATAAGAGAAAGAAAAGCACATCTGGATGGGAGAATACTTTAAGCAAGGAAAACACACTTATTTGTGATTTGCGGAGCGATTGTTGTTTGTTTAAAAAATTTTACGATATCTCCCGACTCTCGATTTTATAGGAACTTTTGAGAAATAAAATAAATATTAGTGAGAACTAAATATTCTTCTGTCACTGCAACACACCGAAGTAGAAACTGAAATAGCCACATGTTCGTTTTTACTAGTACCACTACGTAGCTTAATAAACACATTGAAAATTGATATTACCGTAATAAAATAATAATCTGCAAAAAAATCGCAATAAAACACAGTCGGACACTCGAAAAACTACCAAAGATTACTCAAAAAATTCGTGCGGCTCGGTATTCCGGATGACGTTGCTAAGAAACATACATTCTTTGGAAGAAGCGCACGAGAACGACGAACGAGATTCCCGTCAACTCTGGGGGAGCTTACGCAATTGCACGAGCCCATCGCTTTGACGAAAGAACGCATGCGCAAAATTGGGGTATGAAAGGAGTATGAACGAAATCGAACAAATCAGATTCGTCTGTATTCGTGTTCATTTCATTCCCGCCATACTTTGAAATGTGAAACTTCTGGCGCTACAACAGCACGTACTTCCTTGCATATTTGTAACTTATGTAATACTGTAATGCTACCTGCACGTACATTTGTATAGTTTTTTTTTAAAATACGGATATGTCATATTATTCAGTATTGCATTTAGCTCTACTCATTCAAAAATGAAATTTGTATCAATTTTTAAGATCTTATATTTACAATTGTCAATTTCAGGAAAAAATCCGGGGAAACCATTATTTTGAAGGGAAAATATGCAATGACATTTCAAGATCTAATTTTAAAGAATATATTTCCTTAAGAAGAAATCCCTAACTTCAAAATTGTAGTTGTAGGAAGATTTCGAATAAAATTGAACCTCGGCAATTTTCGAAAATTTAGAGAATACAAAGAAAATCGGACCCGCGTCATTCTTACTTTGCTTCTTTGAAATCAAATTTTTCTTTGAAAATGTTGGCGCTTCATGTAAACCAAAATATCCTGTTTAAATTCAAGAAGTAGACTTCAACCTGATGGCTGCGCAAACAATTTGAAGAAAATCCAGCCTACAGTTAGGCCTTTATGTTGTTCACAGATGGGCAGACTTTTTGCTGAAAAGCAGATTTTCAGAGTCAAGTACCCCCAAAACATGGATTCCAGTCTACCTAATGCATTTGTGAAAGTAATTTAATACCTGTAGAAATAAGAATTACCCACAAAAGTCAGGAAATTGGCATCAGGGCCCTAAAATACCACTTTCTGCCTAAAAAATTGTTGTTTCTGCTGCAGTAGTACATAGCTTTCTCTTAACTTCATAAGAAATATGCAAGAAAGTAAAAAATATTTTCATATATAGAAAAATGCACTTGTAAAAATTGGTAGCATATGAACATTTGTTTAAATATATATGTAACAAATTTCATTCTTCCTGCATGAGTTTACCTCAAAATGGTGACTGGCACAAATCCATAAAATCCTTCATTTAACAAGGAAACTGTCTATCAAATTAGTTAAAACATTAATTTCAGTAAGAAATTCTTAATTTCCTATCGTTTCATACATTTCTTTATGAAATATAACGTAAAAGCAAACTATCTATTCACATGACACTGTCAGTTTCATAACATGTAATTTTTTTTTTTAAAGAAAGTTTATTTTGTTAAGGTTTCTGAAAAGCAACTAAAGGAATAGAACTACATTCATGAAGATTTAGTTTTATTCCTGACAACTCAACAGTATAAAAACAGTACATATAATATGTCACAAACTTCTCTATGAAATCTAAAGCAAATAGTAGATAATTTTTTGACCTTGGGAATAGAAACTAAAAAAGCACACTATGTATTATCAATAGCACCTTTCTCTAAGCACCTTGTAGATTTCAGCAATTCAATTTTACAGTAATAATAAACATTAGTATTTTGTAACATTGAACCACAACTAGAAGACATATTTTAAAAGAAACAGAACTCCTCTTTTATTAGGGATAATGATTTATTCTAATATCAACACAATAAATCTTGAATACTCAGATCTCTCTATTGCCTTTGGTATTGTAAGAAATTCTGCCTCAGAATCAGATTCAAGTTTGGAAAATAAATTTTTCATGAAATTTTAATAGCATCATTTCTGTAATTCAGTCTCTAAAATATTGAAACGGATTTCTTCGTTTCAAAGTACCTCTGAGCAATAGTGAGGGAAGATAGTGCCTTAACTCATGATGTAAGCATTTTCTTTTCAATTGTCTTACGTCAGAAATATAACAACTTGTAAATTTGAAAAATTAACTCTGTTCTGTTATTGAAATATCACCATTCTAAGAGTGCGTACCAGGAATATAAAAAACATCAAGACAAAATGTCAAATAAACAAGATAACCGATTCTGAAATTACTGCAGTCAAATTCAAGTAGTGATATTGTTTCAAATCTCATTTACATTAAATACAAGAAGATAATCATTTCAATACATTTCTTCCTAAAATTGTATCTTAGGGAAATGAGAAGTAACAAAAAACATGGCTTTAGAGAAAAATTTCAGCAAAAAAAATTTGCTTTTTAACATTTTTTACATTATGGATTTAAAAACATTTAAATTCAACCTCTCTTCAATAATTTACAATTGCTCTAAGAGAAACAAGAACAAATAAATTGTTCCTTTTAGGGAAAAAAAAGTTCAACTTCAAAGAAATAAATTTTCCAGAAAAAGTTTTGTAACTAAAAATATAACTAACAATACTTCAGGAATCTAAAATGTACACAATGAAACAAAATTTATTACTTGAAGTTAGAAAAATTTCAAGCCAAAATATAATGTTCATCAAAATTATGCCAAGAAACTTTATCAAATATATGCATGAAATTCAGTCACAAATATTTCTAAATATAATAGATATGTATATATAATAGCTCTCAAAGTGATTTTCATATAATAAAACTAAGTTATACTTTTCTTTAATTTCAGATGTTGAAAAAGTACAAAATTACTTTTAGTTCTATAAAATAGTTGGAGGAAAGTTCATGGTTTGTGAAGAAAACAATTCAAGAAGAATAGCAAATTAGTAGGTTTTCGCAGCATGCCAAGTAACAATTATCTGAAAATGCTCCTCTCAAACCATGCAACAGCACATTGAGTTTTACCACCACATGATAAAACAATTTCCATGATAAATTCTCACCGAATTTATTGACCTGACGAAAGTTAACAATTATTAATTAAAATGGTGACACCTGAATGCAGAATCCCCAAATCATCAGTACAAGAAATAAATAATGACATTATTCTTCACTAACAAGTGACACATTAAATATTAAAAACAGATAAACTTAATTTCTGTTATGTAACATCTACGTTTCAATATGCACATCAGAAACAAAGCATGTGTAGAATCACATTTACATAATCTTTGTTCAGTATCAATAGCATCAATACAGGTGGTAACCTCAATATGCTCTTTTATTAAAAAGACCTTTCTTTTAAAACAGTACATTAAAAATGCGTATTTCAAAATTTTCTGAATTATTGTCATAAACTAGTATCACAAAAATAAGCGTTATCACAATCACAAAGAAATTAGATATTAGTGGATATTTAAAACACCATCTTTAATATAAGGGATTGCACCTAAGACAGATGTTAGTTCAAATACTTCTGTGAACATCCATATGCAGAGTTAATTGTTTCTCACCCAACACACACATAAAGGAAAAACATTTATCGTGATGTTTCATAGCCACCATAGCCATGATATGCAGAGGGTAGATCATTGAAGTGTACCTTCTTTATTATAGCAGGGCACTCAGAACTTATTTGCTCCCAGTCAGCAGGGGTTTCACAGCTGAATGAAGAAAGTGCCAGGTGAAGCAAGAATTCACGGGAGTATCGGACCTTCCGAGGAGCTGAAGCAAAATACAAAGAAAGGGAAGTATTAAAATGATAAAATTCTGTATGGGAAATATTTATTTTCAAAAACAATAGTCTAATAAGAGGTGCTCCCAAAATTCAAGAAGAGAAATGTAGATAATCATTGTTGAGTGCCAGGAAATTGAAATTATAAAGAAGGACATTCAATTAAAAAAGTACAAGGCAATGTAACTAAAGAGCAAAAAAAATTAAATGGAATATTTAACATTTCAACTTTAACAAAAGATTTACATGTTTCAGGTTCCATTTGCATCTATGAGAATAAAATATTATACTTACAGAAAAGAAAAAAAAG